TCAATCCCTAACGTTATGGGCACCTGAATATAGATGAGAAGGAAACAGTAGGCAGGACTGCTTGGAGCAGTGAGAAAGACTACCCAGAAGACCAAGGGAAGTATGGAGGCGGCAGCCAGGACTTCCACTCCCCACACAGAGAGCTGGACCACCCTCCCGCCCAAGCCATGCAGACAGCTGAGGTTACTTCATCCTCCCTACAAGCTGTGGCCTCCACCTCATTTCCCTCACTTACATTTGCTTTGGTCTCCTCTGAACACTGAGGTGGTGAGAGAACTTGCCCTGAGGTTAAAGATGTACAATTAAAGAGCCACCAAAGCTTTCAGGCTGCTCTCTGGGCCCCAGGGTCACAACAACTATCACATCATGCACAGTCACACCAAAATGAGCAAAGCAAACTCCTGCTAGTGAGGACAAAGGAGCCACCGTGCCCTTAAACAGATAAAAATCTACTTCTGTATCAGAAAACAATCCCTAGGACAGAAAGGAACCACACTGCTGAAATTTAGAGCTTCTAAAATACTTTAAATCATCTAAATTAACATTTAAGTGAAAAAATGCTTTTCAATGAAAAAGTCTCAAGTTAAATGAATACCTATCACGTTAATCTGAATAGAAACAAGTAAAACAAATCAAATGAGCACAAAAATCAGAACATGCAAGCCTACTGCTAGCAAGCCAACCACTCCAGTTTCACGTAGCTGAACGAAGTACAAAAATAAACAGCAAAAGGGTGACGACAGATGAAAAATAGCAGATGTTTTACTGTATTTATAACCAATATTGTTACGCACCCAAGTACAACAGAGCCTACACCTGTTAGTTTCTCACGGAGACATTCCTTTAGGATAGTCTCAGGAAGCTAACTCCGAGACTTTTGAAATGAGACCAGTGAGAGAAATGAGCTCCACAGCAAGCCTCCAAACAACAAGGCTTTCCTCGGCCAAAACTTGTCTCTGTCTCACACACCTGGAAGGTATGGCATGTTCTAAATTTAAAGTCTAAAAGATCTAGAAGTCAGTTGGGCAGAGACTGCAAGCAAAAGAGCCAATCAGGAGACTGGAAAGGAGCTGGGGTAGTTCTCTCTCCTTGTAGCCCCAGCGGGGCCCAGGCAACACACAGGGTTTCCTCATAAACAGCTTGTCATAGAACAGCTATCTCCCACTCTGAAAGAAGGCACATTGTATTCTAATGCTTTCCCTCTTTCTTCTGGAAGGTCCTTCCTACTACAATCTCAAGCTTTCTTCCTTCCACTTAAATCTGTATGGGTTTATTGGGCTTTTGTTTTTTTTGGTCCTTTTTAAAATATAAAGCAAGATATTATTGCATTTAATAAGAACAAGAATTCAGTGGCCCGAACTACCTTCCATTCATTTTCTTTCTTATTAGGCTTGCTGTTTGCCTGTGGTCATTTTGTTTCGGTTTCCTCCCTTCCTTTTCTGACTGGAATACCGAGACCGCAGGGCCTCTGATGAGAACCTGACCCACAGAATCTCACTACAAGTACTATCCTATCTGGGACTGAAATTGTCTCTCATCCATCTTCCAAGTTTCCTCTGAATTCTATTAGGATATTGGTACCTAGAAACCTTTAAGATTCTCCTCCCTCCCAAAAGGAGCTTTAAGGTGCAATTAATAGCAGGTCTTGGGCTCTCCATCCTTTTCTTGAGGGTCATCTAAGGAGTGGTCCAGAGGACACGGATGTGTGGCCTTAAACGTGCCTTCTCACCTGTTGATGGCAGCCTTGCAGAAGCCTAATGAAGTTGAGATGCATTACATTTATCACTTTCCCTAGATCCATTCAAATCCATCACTATGTCACAGCAAGAAGTTAGATTGATCTGACAGGATTTGCTCTTCTTCACAAACCCATGTAAGTTATTACTGAGAATCCCACATTCTTCCAGCTGTTTGCTGATTGATTATCTGACGATCAGGTCAAGTATCTTCTCTGGAATCACAGTAAACCAACAGGTCTATAATTTCCAAGATCATTCGTATTCCCCTCTTAAAAGATAAGCTAGACAGCAATGCCGCCTCTCTCCAAGATCGCTAAAGCAACAGCTAATGCTTAGCTAATAATGCACCTTAAGTGCCCTGGAATCACAGCACTAGGGTTCATTGATTCTGGAGATAGTCTTTACTCAGATGCAAATCCTGGAAAACAGCATCAAGCTCTAACTCAGTATGGGTCATGAAAACCATGCAAGACCAGCCGTGGTGTGCACCTTTAATCCCAGCATTCAGGAGGCAGAGGCAAGCAAATCTCTGAGTTTGAGGCCAGCCTGGTCTATAAAAATCAAGTCCCAGGACTGCCAGAGCTACACAGAGAAACCCTTTCTGGAAGAAAAAAAAAAAAAAAAAGGAAAAGAAGGGAAAGAAAACCTTTGAGCCTAAGTCTGGGAAGCAAGTTGGTAGCATAGGTGATTTAAATGCCTACTGTAGTATCTTCAGCGTGATGCTAGACAGACAGGTAGGCAGACCGACAGATGAACATGCCCTTGAAAGAGAGGTAAAAGATGACACTAAGCCAACTGAGACATAAATCAGGTTCCACCTGGAAGAATGCTGGCAAGATCTTCTGCAGGACAAGTGAACAGCGCTTTGTAACTATCTGAGCTTATAATCCAAGTGAAAGGCTGAGAAGTCCACACACAGAAGCATGTATGTCCCCGGAAGCAGCAGCAAACGCAAGGATGAAGTGCCAAGCAATTACAGATTCCAAAGAGAGAGATGGATCACATGCAGTAGAGGTGTGCTGGGTTAGAGTCATGCTCCACTAGGGCTTACTCGGGGACTGAAAATTTGTAAGAAAAATAATATGAAGCATTAGAATGTGGATCCTGGAGTCTCAACTCAGAAGACTCCACAACCAGAATTCCCAGCCCACCACCTACACCCAATGGTAAGACCAGGAGGCAGAAAGAAAGTGTAGGTTGGGCAGCTCCCAAGCAACATTCCCTTTCATCTAAAGTTTTTTCCCTTAGGACACAGTCCTTGTCTAATCTAAGCTGGCCTGATTCTAATGATCCAAAGGGGAGAGGAAAGGAAAGAGGTGTAGTGTCTTCAACAGGCAAAACCACCTACCATTCTACAGACAAACCCCTCTAGAAAAAGCTGACCATAAGAAATGAAGCAAGTTTATCTTTCTGTGGCTCCCAGTGGTCCCGCCTCCCAAGTCCCAATGGTGAGGTCTCCTCCCCTCTGGCCTCCTAATGAAAGCTACTCTAACCAAAGCAACAGGGCTGTATATTCCAAAATTACACATTGTAGCCTAAGCACTGCAGGAGGAGCTGCCACACAAGAGCCATCCACTCGAGCCTCCACCCCATGCCTGAGCCTCCACACTACAATGAACTATCACACTGGCATCCAACCATTCCATCATACACCCAGCACAGGTACCTCTCTACTGCTAATCTAAGCTTCCTGGTAACACTGCCTTAAAAGATAAAAGGTCTTTGTGTACAGTTGGTAACTAAGAAAGAAAAGCAAACAAATTTCCCTTTACAACAGACTAGCAATGGTACCTGTCCAGGTTATCTAATGCTACATAACAAATTATACTAAAGCAGGTATGGAAGTATATACCTGTAATCCCACCACTTGGTGGGCCAAGACAAAAGGATACCAAGTTCAAAGCAGCCTGGGCTACAAAATGAGTTCAAGGACACCCTAGACAACACAGTGAGATACTTTATAATGGAAAAGCAAACAAAAAATTTGTGGCCGCCGGGCGGTGGTGGCGCACGCCTTTAATCCCAGCACTCGGGAGGCAGAGCCAGGCGAATCTCTGTGAGTTCGAGGCCAGTCTGGGCTACAGAGTGAGTTCCAGGAGAGGCGCAAAGCTACACAGAGAAACCCTGTCTCGAAAAACCAAAAAAAAAAAAAAAAAATTTGTGGCCTAAAGCATTAAGAATCAATTGATCAAGCCAGGCAGTAGTAGTGGCACACACCTTTAGTCTCAGCACTCAGGAGACAGAGGCAGGTGGATCTCCAAGTTTGAGGCCTGGTCTATACAGTAAGTTCCAGGATAGCCAGAGCTACACAGAGAAACCCTGTCTTGAAAAACAAGAAAACAAAAAGAAAGAAAGAAAGAGAGAGAGAGAGAGAGAGAGAGAGAGAGAGAGAGAGAGAGAGAGAGAGAGAGAGAGAGAAGGAAGGAAGGAAGGAAGGAAGGAAGGAAGGAAGGAAGGAAGAAAGAAAGAGAGAAAGAGAGAGAAAGAGAGAGAAAGAGGAAGGAAGGAAGGAAGGAAGGTAGGAAGGAAGGAAGGAAGGAAGGTAGGAAGGAAGGAAGGTAGGAAGGAAGGAAAGAAGGAAGGCAGGCGAACAGACAAGAATCAATTGTTCTCTGTCACAGTTATTGAGTCAGGAATGTGGTGGGTGCTGGACCGGCAAATTCACTTCCAGGATAGCTTACTACTGGCAAGCTAGTGATGGCTGTTGGATTCCAGCCTCAGTTTCTATCCAAGTGTGTCTCTGCAATTGTTTGAGTGTCCTCATAGTGTGGTAGCTGGCTTCTGCCAGAGCAAAAGATCCAAAGGAACAAAACAGACTGTAGTGTGTCTTCTAACCTAGCCTGTGACCTTAGTTACACACTGTCTTTTCTACTACATTCCATACTACATAGACGGGGTTATCTATGACTCCGTGTACAAGTGTTAACACCAGGAGGTCACCTCAGGAGTGACTACCACAGCACTCTTTCAAAAGACCACACATCAGTGGCAGGAAACGGGGCCACAGAACCCAAAGAGAAGAGGAAGGCTAGGAAAGATTTTGATTCCCAAAAGCTGAGACTACGGAGAAAAAATGTATCCAGTTCTCCATTCACAGTTTAGTCTTGCACACTTGTAACCAACCTGCCTCAGAAGGCAAGTATTTTTAAAGAGTAACTAAAAGCCAGTAGATAGGAGAAAACTCTGGATTCCAGGAAGCAAGACTCTCCTCCCTCCCTTTTGCCCACCCAACCTTTTCTGAAGCAATGATACAACAGTTACCTGAGGATGAATCTGTGGCTTGTCGCACGTGGCCTCAAAGTCCAGCACTAAAAAGTAGTGATACCTCTGGGGAGGGAAGGGCACCATTGCCGCCATTGATGCGCCAAAGCCGTGGGCCGCCAGCTTTCTGGTGGATATGGAACAGAACTCCGGAACAGCACAGGGAGAAAAGAAGTGGGAGCCCAGCACTTTTCTTGCTCTTGAAAGTAAATACGAAGAAAATCGAGCTGCTCCAGTCTGTAAAGGTGCTAGCATTGAGCATCCAGAGGCATCTAAAACTTAGGGGAGGAAAGTTAAAAGAAAAAGAAAACAAAAAGCAAACAAAACAAAAACAGAGAGCCTGGGTTACTCCCCTCCCACTGTGCCGGGTCATCAGGAATATCCATGCAAGCTGAGCCACACCCACGGTTTCCAGGCCCATTTTCTGAATCGTGTTTTTGTTACTAAAGTTTGAGACCCTAATACCGGCACCTGCAGTGTTATTACTACAATTCTGTCTCCCAGACCTTTCTCAAAGCAACACACAAAAATGGCTTCATTTGTAAATGGAGCTAGTTCAAAATAAAGCAGAGAGGACTTCTGCAGTCACTCCTCAGGTGGCAATAGTTAACTTTAAAGGATTCCAAAGCAATTTGAGATGAGCAACTGCACAATGAGTCCTAGAAGTGGACTCACTTTCCTGGACGCGCTCTTCAGCTCTCTTACATACCATTTGCCCCTGGCTCATCTACCTGTAACTCGACAGCTCCACATACCCTCTACCTTCTCCCAGCAACAAAGTATGAAATGCTGTGGGATGGTCTGTATGTCAAATTGCTCTGATTGGTCAATAAATAAAACACTGATTGGCCAGTGGCTAGGCAGGAAGTATAGGCGGGACTAACAGGAGAAAAGAAAGAACAGGAAGGCGGAAGGAGTCACTGCCAGCTGCTGCCATGACAAGCAGCATGTGAAGATGCCGGTAAGCCACGAGCCATGTGGCAAGGTATAGATTTATGGAAATGGATTAATTTAAGATATAAGAACAGTTAGCAAGAAGCCTGCCACGGCCATACAGTTTGTAAGCAATATAAGTCTCTGTGTTTACTTGGTTGGGTCTGAGTGGCTGTGGGACTGGCAGGTGACAAAGATTTGTCCTGACTGTGGGCAAGGCAGGAAAACTCTAGCTATAATGAAAGCCAACACAGCCAATCCCAGAGGACTTTGCTCATCACATTCTGATGATTCCCAACCTCCACACTAGTAAGTAGCACCCTGGGAGAACTGGAGAGCACAGCTGGCAACAGTCTCAGGCCTCCTCATTTGCTGCCGTGGGCCTCACTCTCTCCTAGAGGCCCACGATAACTGTGAGGCCTTTTAAATAGGAAAGGGGAAGAGAAAACCCAGATGTGGCAGTAATGGGAGCATTTCTAAAAGTCTAGTAAAACTTTCTGAGGGAACATGTGCAAGGAAAAAAAAAGTCTGAATCATTTTTCCTTTAAATTCACACAATAGCTGCTCTCCTCTAAGGGCTAACTAAATATAAAAATCAAAGCCTAAGTTTTACTCACAAATAACCTGATCTGAGAGAGGGAAACAAGGCAGAAATATAGGAACGCGTCCTTCCTCACATTAGAACCCCTCAACTTTAATTCTCAAACAAGAAATCTTACCATTTAATACACAAATTGCCATCGGTTTATGCTTCCTGACGCCAAATCCCAAGAGAAGCAAAGGCTTGCCTCTGACTAGCTGTAAGGAGCCACTGTCTCTCTCCATGCAGGGGAGGAGGACAGCACCCTGGGAAGTGTGGAGCACACTCGGGTACCATGAGGTCACTACCACCTGAACAAAAAAGTACAATGCCAAGGATGACTTCTCCTAGCTCTCTTCTGACTCACTGAAAAGCTACAGTCACTTGCCTGTGTATCTATTAGGATGCACACTAGTGTGGGGCCTCGGTTTCTGTATCTAAACATGAACTATCATGAGGATTGCGTGAAGACTAAAAAAAGTCTTCCTGGATCCTAACACAAGCATGGTGCTTGTTTGTATCATTGCTTTACAGCCTCCCTCAGAACTCCTTAGTCCAGAGAGACAAAGGCAAGCTTGAGTTTCACTATGTAATCTCTAGGAGAGGCACAAGCACCAGCATCCCTTTGAAAGCCAGAATCCAAACAACCCCATTCTCACTCACTCACCAGTACTGAGAAAACAAGTGACGGGGTGATAACGGCTCCACTGCCCATTCTAGTTTAGATGCCAAGTCCTGCAGGACCTTAGACCTCTTCTAACCACCTGAGCCATGTAGAAAGACGTGAGAAACTCTTAATGTGTCTATAGTGTACACAGTATAGAAATCAACCAGACTCTGTCTGCCAATACCACAGGCAACAGTCTCGACTAACAAGGATTTCCTGTTTCTGTCTTCTGACTTCAGCACTTACTAGCCATGGCACCATGGGCACTCTGTTCTTCAATTCCCTGCCTATCAAATGACAATAATAGTTTCTACTTCTAAAGTGAGAATGGAATGAGAACAGAGGTACAACATCAAGAGCAGTGTCTAGCATACAATGGCTCAGAAAGTGTTAGTTTACTATCGTTACTACAACTATGAAACTGGCTCTTCCTCAGTTGTCCCCTACATCCCTATAATTCTCTAGGCCTCCCAAAGGGCACAGTATACATGCCCTCCCTACCCAGCCCCGCTTGGGCAACACACTAACAGCTAGAGGGCCTCCTATCTTACAGGCTTTGTTTTCTCATTTGATTTCATCCACATCAAGAAGGACCACTTGAAAGAAGTCTTAAAAAAAAGATTGGAGAGACGGCTCAGCATTTGAGTACAGGCTACTCGTCCAGAGCTCTCAGCATTTGAGTACAGGCTAATATTCCAGAGTTTGATTCCCAGTACCCACATGGTGGCTCACAATCATCTGTTGCTCCAGTCCCAGGGCATTGGATGCCCTCTTCTGGTCTCTGCAGACACTGTATGCACATGGGGTACAGATATACTTGTAGGCAGGCAAAACACCCATATATGTAAAAATAATAGATCTTAGGAAGTCAGGCTTCCACATGTCAACACTAACAGGGTTCCAAACTGCCCTCCTAACAACCAAATTCAGATCAAGTCAAAGAACAGAGGGTAATTCTTCCTCTTCCTTTGTAAAAATTTCAATTTAAAACCATTAAATGCAATAAAGAAATATCAGTTGGAGTTGGAAGAACCAGAGAGGTCTAAATGAAGGATAAGGGCCAAGGCAGGTGAGACAGGCATCCATGCAGAGGTGGCAAGGTATACTGTATCATGTCAGAGCCAAGGGCATTCATGCCAAAAGGAACTTAATGAGATTCTCAGACAAGGAAAAAAAAAAGTCACTCCCAAGGGAGGGGTAAAGGGCCAGTAACAACAGAATATATACAAATTACAATTACACACAAAATGGATACGCAGAGTGCATATATTAAGAATAATGGAAACCAGGTTTCTCACTACTATAAAAACAAACAAACAAACAAAACCTGTGGTACTGTTTTGGAATTGGCAGTAAGAATTTGAATTCATGATTTCTGGAATAGATGTGGTGGACATGGATATATAAATAAAAGTATGCTAACAGCCAGATAGTGGTGGTATAGATGTGGTGTACAAGGATATTGAAATGTAGATATAAATAAAAGTATAAAAGTATGATAACAGTCAGGCGATGGTGGCGCATGCCTTTAATCCTAGCACTCGGGAAGCAGAGGCAGGTGAATCTCTGTGAGTTCGAGGATAGCCAGGACTATACAGAGAAACCCTGTCTCAACAAAACAAAACAAAAGTATAATTATACATACACAAAAAGATAGAAATTCACACTCTAGCACTGACTAAGGATGGGTTAACAGCAATGAGCACACCTAGCACACCAGTGCCTTCCAAATACCACTGTCCACTAAATGAACCAGAGCTCCTTGGAGAAACGGCAAGAAAACTACAAGATGAGCCTAAGCTAGGCTACAAGAAAGGAAGGGAATGCTCAAAGAATAGAAACATATCAAAGGGACTCAAAAGCCACCTTGAGGGGATCCTGCTGGTCAAATAGGAGGGATGGAGATGGATTATAATGCAATGAATAAGCCAAGAAACCATGAGTCCATAAAGATTTAATAAACACAACTAAAGTCTATGGAGGAATATAAACACGGTATCAATGTATTTCTCCACAGAACCCTTATTAGTTACAATAAGAAGTAATGGAAAAAGATGAGCAGACATCATCTTACACAACCAGTCAAAAATAAGCATCAATGCTAGATGTGGTGGCACGAACCTTTAATCCCAGCACTTGGGAGGCCGAGACAGGAATACAAGACCAACTTTGTACACAGTCAGATCCAGGTCAGTCAGGGTTAGTCACACACCACACACACACACACCACACACACACACACACACACACACGGCATCGATAATGGGATAAATCAAAATCACATGCGCCACTTGACAAGATGTAATGAGAACAAAGGATCATTTCTGATATCCTGCTGAAAAGGCACAATATGAGCCTAACTGTAAAAAAGTATCAGACAAACCATAAAAGAGGAACAATCCACACAATAACCAGCCCATAATCTTCAAAAGTATCAAAGTCATGATCGTCAAGGAAAATGTACTGAGGAAAATCTAAAGGAGACTACAGACTTGATAACTAAATGCAAACCAGTTATCAACCACACCCTTTTGCTACAAAGAACAAAACTTGAATGGGATTCTGGACTAGATAGAGGTTAACATATCTGACCTTGATAGCTGTATTGTAGTTGGGTAAGAAAAGGGCCTGCTTGTAGAAAATACACATCAAGTATCCTTAATAATGGGACATCAGTTCAGGACCTTAATTCTCAAATGGTTCTGAAAAAAAATCTTTGTATTGCACTTCCAATGTTTATGTAAATTTGGGTTGTTTCAAACTTTTGTTTTTTTAAATACTTTTAAAAATCCAGGTATAGGCCAGTTCAGGCCAGCCTAGCCTACAAAATGAGTCCCAGGACAGTCAGGGCTACACAGAGAAAACTTGTCTTGAAAAACCAAATAAATAAATAATAAAAAATCCAGGTATAAGGCTGAGAGTGTAGCTCTGTGGTACAGTACTGGCCACCCATGCATGAGGCCCTGGGTTCAATCCTCACAGTAAGTTAAATAAATAAAATCCACGTGCAATGTAATTTTAAAAACAAAATAGAGCCAGGGCGCAGGACTTTAATCCCAGCACTCGGGAGGCAGAGCCAGACAGATCTCTGTGAGTTC